AGTAAATCCAAATCTCATTTTATTACTTATTTCAACATCTTTTTTATTCCACTTTTTATCATACGTACTAACAAATGTCAAAATTAACTGATTTGTTTTTACATTTTACTTTCTCTGAATTCACTTTTTAAACTACTAAAAGGTAATTACGAATAATCATACCTAGCACTAAATTAAAAAAAAACTTTTTAATGTTATAATTTCTTATTTTTACAATCATTTTGCTACATAAAGACTTCATTAGAGTGGTGATAGTTAGTGCTCGCCTCTATTCAACCATAGGGCTTCTAAGTGCCCCAGAGCTGTGCAGATCTGGGAACCTGTTTCTGGGCTGGAACCTGTTTTTGGGCTGGAACCTGAGGAGTGGCACATCTGCAGAGCTTCTGTGACATGAGGAGCTGAAATGGCCCTGCTAGAATGAAGGAACAGAGTCCAAAAAGTTTAATTGCTGGGGTGTTCGTCCTTTCTTACTCTATGCTTTGATATGCTTGAAACAGAAGTGATCATTTTAGTATTGATTATGGAGTGTTGGAAGATTTAGAGACCTGGTTAAGAATGTTGTATACATAAAGCAGGGCATGGAAGAGAAAACCTTGAGAGTTCTGCAGAATGGAACTGAAGTAGAATAATACTGAAGGCAGAATGTCTGGATAAAATTAAGTTGCCCTATGACAGCGCTTGTCACTATTAACAAGAAGAAATGGAAACATTTCTGTTTCCATCTTATTCCAATGTAATAAGTTTTAAAACTCTACGGATATATTTGTTTAATAAACATATGTTGAATACTTACCATATATCTTGCTAATTAGTATTATTTGGAACACAAACTTTTTTTAAAACATTTTTTCAAAATATAGCTTATTTCTCATGAAACACTGTGGAATTGCTTTAGGCAATGGATATGCTAAATGAAACTTTGATCTTTGAGGACGGCATGAAGTTTAAGGACTATAAGTATATAAAGGAGCATGAAGATTGTACAGAAAAAGCATTTGAAAAACTCTGTTGTCCAGAAGCAGGTATGTGTTCTTTGAAAGCTGTAGATCAGAAGGAGCCATTTCACTAGCAATTGGTCCCGATCTCTCCCCATTCATTTCCTGAGGCTCCTCGTCTCCTGCCCACGTGTGTGATGTCTGCTCCCTGAGATCCAGCCTCTTCTCCTGCTCCACACTGTGGGCAGTTTCACCTGCTCCCTCCCGCAGCTTTGGCTACTCCCAGGGGCCCCCACTCACCAGTCTTTTTCATTCTCTGCTGGAAAGCTCCATGGACAAGTGCCAAGAGCATCTCAAGCTCCCTGAGATCCAGCCTCTTCTCCTGCTCCACACTGTGGGCAGTTTCACCTGCTCCCTCCTGCAGTTTCGGCTACTCCCAGGGGCCCCCACTCACCAGTCTTTTTCATTCTCTGCTGGAAAGCTCCATGGACAAGTGCCAAGAGCATCTCAAACCCAGCATGTGTAAAATCAAACTTCTGAGCTCTTCCTTCCCAGTGACCCTTTATTTTGGTCAACACCATCCCCAGGGTGACAGTTCCTGCTACACACCCAAGGAGGTCTCTACTCTGAGATGTCTCTGGAGTCTTCTCCTTCATCCCCTCTGCCACTAGTTCAGGACTCTGTCATCCCTCAGCAGTGTGGTATGGTAGGAAATGCATGGAGACAGACAAGTCTGAAATCCCAGTTGGCACTGCCACCTTCTGATCGTGTGACTTTTCTCTTACAAGTTACTTCAATGCTCTGAATCTCAGTTTCCTATTAGGATAGTGGGAGAGGGTGACAGTAGTAGTAATAGCCACACAGGGTTATTGTGAGGGACTAAACTGAGGTTTGATATGCAAAGTACCTGGCACATATTAGGTACTTAATAAATGCTATTCTTTCAGTTTTCCATTTGCCTCCCCTCACTGTATTGCCTTATTCTCTTATGTGTCCTTCTTTTATCTAGTACTTCCCCGTCATTCTCTACATGGTTGCTAGAGTTATTTTGTCATATTATTACCCTGCTCAGACTTTTCGATAATGCCTGTAGGATACAATTCATTCTGTAGCATCACATTTAACACTGCATGACCTAATCCTGTGCTGGCCAACATTTCCTACCCCACCCTTTGGAAAAATCTTTATTCAATTCAGCAGGCCTCTTACTGAGAGTCTCCCCTGTGCCACAGTCTGTGTTCAGTGGTGGGAACTCAAAGATGAATGAAACCTGGGCCCTGCCCTCAGTATCACAGAAGTGTCACGAGCAGAGGAGAGGCAGCACAAAAACGTTTTCTGAGCCTGAAATGCTAATCATTGCTAGAGTGAGAGCTGGCTGGAGAGTCAGGACACACCCACTCCCCAGGGGCCTGCCATGCCATGCAGCTTGGGCTTTTTGCTGTGTGGATGCTGACTTTCAATCAAAGGAAATGAAAGCATAATTGCAATTCAGAAAGATCATGCTGGCTGCAGATTGAAGGATGGCATGGGGGGCCAAGACCGAAGGCAGGAGAATAGTCCAGGTGGGAAACACAGGTGCAGGGGTCAGAGCAGTGCAGTGAGAATAGACGGAGTGTGGGGCTGAGGAAGAGAAGAGGCACCAGGATACTTCCATGCAAAGGAGGTCAGCAGAGATCACGAAATGATATAAATTTGGAACATGTTGTGGTTTAGTCTCTATAAGCATCGGTTGGAGATGTTTAGAAGGTGCTAGCTGTTTAAGACTGAAGGCCTGGGGCAAATCAGAGCTGAAGATAGAGTTTGGCAGTCCTTAGCATATACATGGTCTTTAAACCTTGCTGATGGTTGAAAATACCTAGGCAGAGGGACTAGAGTGAGGAGGACATGGAGCTTAGGACAGAATCCTAGCACCAGTTAGACAAGTATTGAGAGAATCAGGAGAAGGTGAAGCCAAAGGAAGAGAGAGAGTTCACAAAGGAGGCCCAGGATTTGGCAACGCTGACTGGAAGAGAAAGGCCAGATGAGGTGGGCTGAGTAACAGGAGCCCTTAGTGGCCTCACTGAAAGCAGTTTCAGTGAAAAGTGTGAATTCAAATGTCTTTGCTTCAGTTTGCTGGAAAGAGGAGAGAGTGGGTTGGCTCTTTTTTAGATAAAAGGGAAAAGAAACCTCACAAATATGTACAAGTACATATTAAAATAAAAATAAAATAGGCTGGCTGATTAGCTCAGATGGTTAGAGTGCGGTCTTGTAACACCAAGGTCAAGGGTTCAGATCCCTGTACTGTCTAGCTGCCAAAAAAATAAATCAAATCAAAAAAAGAAAAAAAAACCACTTTATTAGTTTGATACTGAAAATTTTCTCTCATTTTAATCTTCATTCCTATAATTATTATTCAGGCCAAATAATTTTTTTCCATATGTTTATTGACAGTTTGTATTTCTCTTGTGAATTATGTCGTCTGTCATCTGTTTTTGTTCTATCAAAAATGGCAATGTTTTCCCTTTACAAGACTTATTTAAATCAAACCTTTGCCTGTAATATATGTTGCAAATATTTTCCGCAGTTGGTCTTCAGATCTCATGCACAATAACAACAGCAAATATGTGTGTATTCACTTAGGAATAAACTTTATAAGAATCGTATAGGTCATATGAATAAAACTGTAAAACTTTACTGAGCTATTTAAAGACCACTTGAATAAATGGACAGAAATAACAATGCTGTATATTGGAAATATTCTTTCCAAGTAAACATGGATTTATGGCAATTTCAGTCAAAACCCTAATTGGAATTATTTTTCTGATGTGGAGAGATCTTAGTACATTGGAGAATCTTAGAGATTCTCAACTAGGCAAAAAATTTTGAAAAAGAAGAGCAAGGAAGGAGTACTTGCCAAATATAAAAATATCGAAATATATAAATTACAGTCATTGAAACATGATAGTAGCATCAAAATAGATAAAACAGTGAAGAGAAGAGAAAGTATAGAACAAACCCTAATGTGTATCATAACTTACTGTATGCTAAAAGTGACATCACAAGTCAGTGGAGAAAGAAAGGATTATTCAGATAAATGCTGCTGAGCCAACTGGTTAACAATTTGGGGAAAATTGTGAAATCATACCTTATATAATATGATGCAACAAAACAAATTGCAAAAAAACAAATAGTTTATATGTAAGAAAGTTATATATTAGAAAATGAAGTAAAATAAAATATAAGTAAATTATTTTTTTGGATAGAGAAGAATTAGCTATTCCAAATACATAGAAAAAAACCACAGAATAAATTAGTAATAGATTCATCTTTGACAGTGAAAAGCTTTGGTAAAGCAAATAATACTAGCCCCTAGAATTGTCATTTTCAGGGCCGGCCTGGTGGCGCACTGGATAGTGCGCCGCTTGGGAAGCGCGGTGGCGCTCCCGTCCGAGGGTTCGGATCCCACATACAGACTGGTTCCCGCTCACTGGCTGGGCGAGGCGCGGGAGCAACACCGAGGTTTGCAATCCTGTTGCCGGTCCCCGGTCCGGTACGGGGGCAACACTGAGGGTTGCGATCAGTTGCCGGACACGGAAAAAGACAAAAAAAAAAAAAGAAAAATACTTAAGAACGTTGATATGATATGTAGCTGATTGAAAAAAGAAAGTTGTGAAAGCATATGTAGTGTGTGGTCCAAGTTTTGTTTCAAAACAAAGCAAAAACTATATGCAGGGGAAAAAATTTAAAATTTTAATAGTCTCTGGATGGTGAGATTATGAGTGATTTTTATTTTCTTCTACTTATCTGATTTTCAAGTTTCCTATAGTGAAAACAGTAATAAAGAAAAGGATAATAAAGTTATTATTATTTTTTTTTTCCTTTTTGTCTTTTTTACTGACCGGTAATGGGATCACAACCCTCGGTGTCGCGCCCGTACCAGGGACCGGCAACAGGATTGCAACCCTCGGTTTTGCGCCCACACCGCGCTCAGCCAGTGAGCAGGAACCAGTCTCCACATGGGATCNTGCAGGGGAAAAAATTTGAAATTTTAATAGTCTCTGGATGGTGAGATTATGAGTGATTTTTATTTTCTTCTACTTATCTGATTTTCAAGTTTCCTATAGTGAAAACAGTAATAAAGAAAAGGATAATAAAGTTATTATTATTTTTTTTTTCCTTTTTGTCTTTTTTACTGACCGGTAATGGGATCACAACCCTCGGTGTCGCGCCCGTACCAGGGACCGGCAACAGGATTGCAACCCTCGGTTTTGCGCCCACACCGCGCTCAGCCAGTGAGCAGGAACCAGTCTCCACATGGGATCTGAACCCTTGGCGGGAGTGCCGCTGTGCTCCCAAGCGGAGCACTCTCCAGTGCGCCACCTGGCCGGCCCTAAAGTTATTTTTTAAATTTGCGCTCCCAAGCGGAGCACTCTCCAGTGCGCCACCTGGCCGGCCCTAAAGTTATTTTTTAAATTAAGAAAATGGAACAGATTGCATTTCTATGGAAACTGACTACAGTAAAAGTTCTCACAGGTGCCTCGAGGGATTTACCCTTTCATGTCACTTACATTTCCTTAGCATTTAGCTGCATTGGCTAGTCCGTCAAATGTTAATAGTGAAAGTGAAACAATTTTTAATCCTTTTTATAATTTCAGTCTTATAGATACAATCTATGTTAAAATGAAGGTGGTAATTTCTCTGGTTTTGAACGTACCAGCTGATAGACTGTCTCCAGGTTCTGAAGAACTGTTTGGTGCGATTAGTCACACTTTGGCTGCTTTTGAATTAATACGTTGTGTTCTTATACCCAGGGTTTTTCATTAAGGATTCAGTTGCTGCAGAAAACCGGAGGCAGTGGGATACTGGAGTGTCCCAGACCCTGCTGCAAATGATGGCAGGGACCAAAGTCACCTCTGCCTGCTCCACTGTGCCTGACAGTGAGTCTGTGATCAGTTAGCACCAGCTGTCAGCGGGGAAGAACATGGCCCCAGGACAGCTGTGTTGCTAGCGCCCATCCTGATGTGATAGCTCCCACTTCTTAGTACAATCTCTATAGGTTTTTTTTAAATTTTAATTTATTTTCAATTGTACATATTAGATTTTGTATCAAAAATGTCTTTAAGAGACATTGTTTTGATTTCTCCCCTACCCCCAGAGAGACTTACCTGCTAATTATCCTAGACAGTTGATCACCCTCACTATGAAAATGTGAAGGAGGAAAAATCCAGGATGCCACCTTCCTCAAAGTGACGAAGAAGGTCCAAGGAAGGGCAGTTGACTTGGTTTACCTTCCAATGCCAACTCAGTAACTTCCTTGCAAGTTATTTTGGAGGAAGGTGGACGGTCATTTTTTTCACCAATAATATTGAAATGAAAAGAATAGTTATCCCTATAATATTTAGAGAGTTAATAGTGCAAAAATACATATAAAATTACTTTGTAAGCCAAAGTGCTATTTAATTGTGAGGCGTGTTTAGGGTGATATTTTCAACCCAAATTCCTTCATTTATGTTTGAAGCTCTGACATAGCCTTTCCTTAGAGGAGTTTGCTAGCAACCTCCAACCTCTGGGCATTATCTTTACAGGTAGTAAAGATTTTTATTACTTATTTCCTATGTTCCTCTTGATAACATAGGGCTGAGAGAGAGCTAAAATTTATACCTGTGCTATAAGTTGAAATACTTAGGTATATCACTGAAATTAGTAATTACAAGTGTATGAAGTGAAAACTGAGGGAAAACTGAGTTTTAGAATAGGTATAGAATAGGTATTTTATCACACCAAAAAACCCAGTTGACAAAGCAAAAATTGACTCTTCTACCCAACAGCTGTGTGGCAGTAAGTCACTAAACTTTTCTGTATCTCAGGTTCTTTATTAGTTAAGTGAGGGTAGGATCAAGTTAGTCTCCAAGGTTCTCACTTTCTGTGATTTTATAAAAATTCAAATGGAGAAGCATGTTTATCTTCAGTAACACAGTTTCCTCTTCAGATGGCCAAGTTATTGTGATTGAAGGTGTTCCGGAAAATAGGAAACAGTGGCGGCATGAAGTGCCAGGAACGTTGATGAATGTTTTGGCGGCAGCACATCTAATGAGTTGCTCATTTTCTGCCAGCGAAGGAGAATTTGGTATGTGGTTTACTTTTAACAGCATAACCAGTCCCCAGAGGAATTCTGTCAAAGATTTGTAAATGCAGAAAGGGGATAAAAATACCTTCAGCCTGGAGAGAGAATTGGCCGTTTCAGAAGCTGATGGCCTTGTCCAAGCTTCTTCCAAATGCCATTAACAAAAGATATGAACTTCCAAGGAGACTGGCCATAATTTTCTTTAACGTAATCAGCTGACAGCTTATGAAAAGTTGAGTAACTGGAATGAGTGGCTTTGCAGGGGATGATCTAGTGTTGCGTGACTCTACCTGAGAGCTGGTTTATTTCTGACGGCCAGTTAGCAGACGCAGATTACTCTCCTATGGGCAAGAAAGGGACATCATTATATAGTTTGGGTTTGGTTTTTTGGTCTCCAGTTTTTAGCAAGTTTCTGCTTTTGTTTACTTTAACTGTTGTTTTCTACAGTTCGAGGGAGTTCATATCACACTGGGGATTTGGTCCTGTATCGGGTATAGGTGTGAAGTACTACAAGAAAGGCCATTGCAGGCAGGCAGGGATTCAAACAAGGAGCATCTTTGCAGGTGCGAGGTTTAGGAGCCAGTGTTGCGGAGATACGTGGCCGAGGTGACAAGGAAATAAACAAATAAACTAAGTAGTCATGGAAGCTGATAAATGCTTATAAGGTTAAATATCACTACAAAAATATTAATACGGCATTAAGAATAATGCAAGAGAGACACGTAAGTAATTATTGAAGAGCAGGTCTGTCCGCTTTTTCGCATTTGTGATATTCGAGCTCTTTAGCTGAGTCTTAAAGAATGTACAGGGTTATGATGAGACAAGAACATTTTAGGTGGGGAGGACGGTGTGAAGGATGGACTTGCAGATACACAGGCTGGCTGGAGACTGGAAAAAGCCAGTTTGACTAAAATCTAGAAGCAGCAGAAGGGGCCAGAGTCCCTGAGTATGTGAAGTCCTTCGGTATTATTACTTATCTCAGTTGACACACGGTTGTTTAAAATTCTAGAGAGAGAGATACAGACAGAGAGACTGACAGAGTCACTGCTCGGAGCTTCTTTCCAGTTCCTTCTAACCACTGCAATGTGCCTATCTTCTCCTTTCTATGTTGGGGATAAAGCATTGTCTTTAAGGGATGGGAGTGGGGCCTTCAAGAAGGAAGCTTCCCCAGGCCAGGTAGGAGGGACCACGCCCATCTTTCATGACAGGGAGATGGTGATGCACTTGGTGGCTATGATGCGTCTTCTTGTGTTTGCTACTGTGATTCTAGGAAAAGATCATAGAAAACCCTTCTTTTGACCTATCATGACAAATTAATTAATTCATGAACATACTGTATTTTCACATGGATGGTTTTTTTTTGACTGATAAGGGGATCGCATGCCGGGGATCGCAACCCTTGCTGGCCCCACATGGAGGGTTTTACATTAGGTATATATGGGCAGTTTATCTCATTAGCAGAATTGAATGTAAAAACTTTCCTCCAAGGGCGGCATTCAAAGCCAAGTGCAGACATTTTCTTCTGCAAACTGTTAAGGGTGTTGACACCCCTTCCCACTGCGCTTTGCCCTTTCAGAAGAGAACTCTGCTGTTGACCTCACACTCTTTTCTATCCCTGCAGCAACCTTGTCTTCCTGTCTCTGGTCATCTTTTTTTCCCTCCATTTCACCCCCTTCACTCCTGCCAGATGATCCTCCTAAAAGGAACCAAGTCTCTTAGCTTAAGATCTTGCAAAAAAAAAGATTTCTCTTTATCCTAAGAATAAAATACAGATTCTGCCGACTCTAAGCACCTAAAGATTGGAAGGCCCTTCCTAGCAAATATTCCTCTCTTGCTTTAGAATGCATGTCCCCTCCCTTTGCCAAAATAATTCCCCCTGTAAGATTTCACTCTGATGCAACCTCCCACCCATTCCTGCCGTTACGTTTTCTCCCTGCTTTCCCGCTACACTATCAGACAGGGCTCTGCAAAGGTATCTGGGATATGGTGATTCTGAATAGATGTTTTTTGAATGAATAAGTGAAAGAGCCTGTAACTTGATAAATATGCTTCTCTTTAATCCAAAAAATTCTAAGAACCTTTGTGTAAGTCCTCACGTTTGTCTGCTGTCTCCCTGTCTTTTCCGTTAGCTGCCTCTGACAGTTTCACGTTCATTCAGTCTCACACTCAAATTAATTCACAGTCAAACATTTGTTAAGCCCATGAAATACTGACATTCAGTTATTATATTTGTCATTTAAGTTCAGGTCATAAAAAATGGAGTAGTGATTTTATTATGCATTTTTAGTGATTGCTATGAAGAACCTGGATCTGAATTAAGCTACAGCCTGTGTACCACTGATTGGGAACCACTGTTTTAAATGATTGAGAAAACATGTTTCATATGGGCATGTTTCCCTAGCTTTCCTCTAGGTTTGGTTTCCCTAATATCCTTACAAGACTCTGTGATTCTCTGATCAAAATACTATGTTTCACTTTATTTTTTTGCTTAATAACTTTCTTCCTCACTTCCTCTCCTAAGCATATAAGAACTTTGTTTTGATCACACCCCAATTCACTTCTCCATCCCTAATGCCTGGTATAGTGCATTAAATGTGGCCATAGTATTTGTGAATGAGCATAGAGCCACAGCACATTGTTAGTATTACTTTATGCAAAGGCATGTGATCACCAATATTTGTGCTGCTATCAAATTGGACAGGGAAATTACGCCGTGAAGAATAACTCGTACAGCTGTATGGCGTCTTCATAAAGACTTTCTGCATGTATAAATTGAAAGAAAGTGAGCCGAGATGCCAGGTACCATTCAAGCTTTATTAAAGAAAGAAATCTGCTGGGCTGTGCTCAAAATGGGGGACAGCACCAGGTGTGGGGGTCGTAGAGCTTATATAGGCATGTTGGTGCCAAGAGCTGGGTGATGTAATTCCGGGGTGGGGATTGAGTTAGGTCACAGGAATGGAGAGTTCTGCGCATGTGGAAATGCCGAAAGTTTCATTTTCTCTGAAACCATGAGACTTCTTGTAAAAGAGAACAGGGGAGGGGAGGGGAGGAGGTGGGCGGCGCCATTTTGTACTTGGGCTTGTCTAAAGTGGCGCTGGTTATGTTGCAGATCTATTATTCCTGCCTTTTAAGTATAGGAAAAAGGAGAAAAGGATGGAGGTCTCATTCTTCTGAAGCTACTTTCTGCTGGAGATGAGCGAAGATATGGAAAAAATAAAAGATTTAGGTGGCAGGGTATTGGTTTTGTGCAGGAAGGCTCTATTCCTCTGGGGAAGGGTCACTGATTCTGAGGGGCTGATATCCTCCTCACAGGAACAACTTGGTGACCTTTTGGTTGGTGAAAGCCTGCATACATTCCTGCAAGAAATTAGAGAAACACCAAAAGAGACAGGGACCAAAAAGCAGGATGAGTCCTAGCACAGTTAGGGGTCCTAGCAGGGGCATAAGCCAGGGTATCCAAGGGTTCAGTGAAATGGTTTAAGTTGTTTTGGATCAACCCCAGACTCATTTATGTAATAACAGCTTTCCTCCCCCAAGAAGAGGCAGGTGCCTTCCTTCTTGGCTGTAAGAAAGAAAAGGGCCTGATGGTTCTGTAAAGCAGGTGTCACAAGTGAGGAGACCTTTCACTGGAGAGAGGAGATGCTGTCTATGCTTAGTTCTTCTGAGAGTTTTTGATAGAATCGAGAGGGAGCAGCAAGGCCCACTGTGCCAGTCCGGTTGCAGGGAGGATCCCTGCCCCAATTAAAAAAGGCACAATTAGTGGCCTACAGGAGCAGGGGCACTTCCTGAGGGGGGTGCCGAAGTTAGTCCCAGTCCTGTCTCTACCATCTATCTGGAGGGTAATCTCAGGGATGAGCCAAAAGAATATGCAAGAAATCATGTTAGGGGGGCAGGCAACAGGATAATGTAGTTTTACAAAAGAAATATATTCCAGTTTTCGGGCATGGATGAGGAGGGGGGTGAGTGAGTGGTAGCGTTTGGTGTTAGTGAGGCAGAGTGTGGGCAGGCCCCACACAACGCTGACAGTCCCCACTGAGGTAAGATTAAAGTGAAGAGACGTTTCTGGAAACGTTATGGGCTGCAGCAACAGGGAGGGGGTGACCACAAAAAGTTTCTCGTGAAGTGGGAGACAGATGAGTCGTTTGGGCACCAGTCTGATTCACTGAGAACTGCATCATCCCTGCGGACCTGGAACCTCCGTGTTCCAGGTAAGGGGGAACTTGAGATAGGAGGAAAAACACAGGAAGGATGCGAAGAGTTAGGGAGCCAAGA